TGGAAGGGTGGGTGGATGGATGGATGGATGGATGGATGGATGGATGGATGGATGATGGATGGATGGATGATGGATGATGGATGGATGGATGGATGGATGATGGATGGATGGATGATGGATGGATGGATGGATGGATGATGGATGATGGATGATGGATGGATGATGGATGGATGGATGGATGGATGATGGATGGATGGATGGATGGATGATGGATGGATGATGGATGGATGATGGATGGATGGATGATGGATGGATGGATGGATGATGGATGGATGGATGGATGGATGGATGGATGATGGATGGATGGATGGATGATGGATGGATGGATGATGGATGGATGGATGATGGATGGATGGATGATGGATGGATGGATGATGGATGGATCCATGGATCCATGGATGGATGGCTGGGTGGATCCATGGATGGAGCGATGCACGGTCCTCCAGCAGAATTCCAGGGGCAGAAAGAAAGGAGGGACATGGAGCTGCTCTGGATGCAGGCTGGGAGAGCTGGGAATGTGCAACCCGAAAAGGGAAACATCCCGGGAATCCTTGGAGCCCCTTCCCAAGCCTAGAGGGTCTCCAGGAGAGCTGGAGAGGGACTTGGGAAAGGGCTGGAGGGGACCTTAAATCCTACCCCATTCCAACCCCAACCCTTCACTCCATCCCTGGTTGCTCCACGCACTGTCCATCCTTGGCCTGGGAATCCCTTTTCCCAAAGGATGCCAAATCCCTGGATGAGCTCCGAGCCCGTCCTCTCACTCACCCTGGGAAAGGTCAGGATTTGGGTAGAGCCTTATCCCAGAGGAAATCCGGGGTTTCCCAGTCCCTGCAGAGCAGAGGGAATATATCGGGAGTGTGGGGGATCCCAGAGGAACCCGATCCTCCTCTCCTTGCCTGCAGATCCTGAAGAATCTCCTCCAAGGTCCCGAGGATCAGGATCCTCCTTTTCCATATCCCAAGGGAAGAATCTCCTCCAAAGTCCCAGGGATTTGGATCTTCCTTTTCCACATCCCAAGGGAAGAATCCCAACAAGGTCCCAGGGATCAGGATCCTCCTTTCCCAGATCCTGAGGGAAGGATCCCCCCAAGGTCCCAGGATCAGGACCCTCCTTTCCCAGATCCCAAGGGAAGAATCCCCCCAAGTACCCAGGGGGTTGGGATCCTCCTCTCCCAGCCTTGCTTCCTCTCGTGGATCCCAAGAGAAGGAGCTGGGATCCCACAGGATCAGGACCTTCCTTTCCCAGATCCTGAGGGAAGAATCCCAACTTCCAGAAGATTGGGATCCTCCTTTCCCTGATCTTGAGGGAAAGAGCGGGAGGCGATGCCGAGATCCCAAAGGATCGGGATCCTCCTTTCCAAATCCTCATGGGAAGCAAAGCTGAGATTCCAGGGGATCAGGGTCCTCCTTTCCCAGATCCTGAGGGAATTACTGGAGGCAAAGTCACGATCCCAGAGGATCAGGATCCTCCTTTCCCAGATCCTGAGGGAAGAGCTGGAGGTAACGCTGAGATCCCACAGGATCAGAACTCTCCTCTCCCTGATACCGAGGGAATTACAGGAGGCAAAACCAGGATCCCAGAAGATCGGGATCCTCCTTTCCCAATCCTCACGGGAAGCAAAGCTGAGATCCCAGAGGATCAGGATCCTCCTCTCCCAGATCCCAAAGGAATTACTGGAGGCAAAGCTGAGATCCCAGAGGATCGGGATCCTCCTTTCCCAGCCCCTCCTCCCTCTCCACATCCCTCGGGAAGATCCCAGACACTCCTGAGCTTCCAACAATCCTTTATTTCTCTCTCCAAGGAATTGAACCCTGCGGGACACATCGGCTTTGGCATGAGAACCAGAGAACCCTTCCCGACGGGAATTGGGCACCCCGGATGAGGAAGATGCAGAAATTCCTCCCTGGAATTGTCGGGAAGTGTCCCCCGAGCCTCCTCTCCGATGGATATTTCTGGAATTCCACGGATAGCGCCGTTGGTAGTAAATATCCTCTGGAATCTGACAAATGTGCACCTCAAGGATCAGAAATCCATGGATTTTTCCTCTCTGGAAAGGTGACAGAGCATCCCCAAAGTCCCCCCTGCCACCTCCAGGCCCCCAGGAGGGTCCCCCCCGTGTCCCCTCCGTGACCCCTGGGGGGGCCTTTGGGTGCTGGGAGGGGAAAATCCCATCCTGGAAGGGCGGGAATGGGAAAAGAGGGAAACTTTCCTTCCCAGCTGGGGTGGTGGTGACAGAGGTGGCCCCCGGGGTATCCCCAGGAATTCTGGGAGTGTCCCGGGGTGAGCGTGGTGGTGGGAAGGGGTGTGGAGGAAAGGATGGAGAAGTGTTGTAAAATCCCAGATTTCCCCCAAAAACCTCTCTGAGGGAAAAGAGTCCATCCCCGGAAGATGGAAATGGGGATCCTGGGGGATAATTGTCCCCAAAATTCCTCCCTGAGGGAAAAATTCCATTCCCAGATTCTCAGTGAGGATGGAGATGGGGATCCAAGGGGAAAATATCCCAAAAAAAACCTCCCTGAGGGGAAATAATTCCATCCCTGGAGCCTTGGGGAGAATGGAGATGGAGATCCCATGGGAAAATATCCCAGCTTGTCCCCAAAATGCCTTCCCAGGGGGAACAATTCCATCTCTGGAGCCTTGGAGAGGATGGAGGTGGAGATCCAATGGGAAAATGTCACAAATTTTCCCCAAAATGCCTTCCCAGGAGGAACAACTCTATCTTCAGAACTTTGGAGAGGATGGAAATGGGGATCCCATGGGAAAATCTCCAGGATTATCCCCGAAAGAACCACTCTGAGGGAAAAAATTCCATCCCTGGAATGTTGGGGAGGATGGAAATGGAGATCCCAAGGGAAAATATCCCAGACTCTCCCCAAAATACCTTCCCAGGGGGAACAATTCCATCCCTGGAGCCTTGAGGAGGATGGGGATGGGGGTCCCATGGCAAAACATCCCAAACTGTCCCCCAAACACCTTCCTGAGGGGAACAATCCCATCCCCAGACCCTCGGCACAGAGGGATGTGGAAATCCTGTGGGATCAACCAGGCTCCCACGGATGATTCCCGCTAAATCCCGAGGACTCCCAGCTCTGCCCCGCTACGAATTTGGGTTAAGACAGCCCCAAATCGCAGGGTTTGGAGCAGCCTACGTGACTCCCGGCTGCTTTTCCGGGCGGCTGATGTGGAAAAGCTCCGGCTAAGCCCCTCTTAGCCTGATTTCCGCGGCCATCGGGTCCCTCTGCGCTTCCCGGGGAATTCCCGAGGATCCGGAGCATGGAGAGGCCACAGTGGGAGGTGCCGCCCAATCCCACCAGATTCCGAGGCTCTCCCGCTCTCCCAAGTTTCACATTTTCAAGGAGTGGGGGTATTTTTTGTGTGTGAAATTAAAATCCAAGAGGTTTTAAATTAAAATCCATTCCAGAGCGAACCGGGACAGCCCCGCTCCGGCGTCGTTCCCGAGTCCAGAGCGGCTTCCTCCCGCTCCGGGAGTGATCCAGGCTGGGGGGCGTGAGGGGGCTACACGGAGCTGCGGCGCTTGGCGAATCCCGGGAACGCCGCCAGGCTCTGGAGCCCGGTGGACACGGAGCTGATGGCGGAGCGCCGGGAGCGGCAGAAGCACCGGTGCTCCGGAGTCTCGGGACAGCGGGCGGGCGAGGAGTGGCTGCGCTCCACGCCCGTGTCCGAGCTGGACAAATCCCTGGGAATGATCATGGGGATGGAATACTGCAGCTTCTCGCGGCTCTTGTACCACAGGCACGAGCACACCGACTGGAAGTGCAGCACCTCGGCGTAGACGTTCCGGAAGCCGCTCTCGGCCGGGGCCACCGCGGAGGCCTCGGGGACGGCGGCCACGGCTCCGGAGCGAGCCCCCCTGCTGAGCAGCGCCCGCTGCTCGGCGTCGCGGCGCTCGTCCTCGGCGTTCATGGTCATGAAGCGCAGCACCACCAGGTTGAGGAAGGCGCCGATGACCGTCAGCCCCGTGAGGATGTAGACGAAGCTGAAGGCCACGTACTGCGGCTGCGTCTGCAGCGCCTCGTCCTTCTGCAGCGCCACGTAGTCGCCGAAGCCGATGGTGGTCAGCGTGATGAAGCAGTAGTAGTAGGCCTGGAAGAAGCTCCAGTTCTCGTAGTGCGAGAAGGCGGCGGCGCCGATGCAGAGCGTGCTGACGCACGAGAAGAAGCCGATGGTCACCATGTTGGCCATGGACACCTCCGGCCGCCGCATGCCCAGGCGCTTCTTGAGGCGGCGCAGCAGCGAGCGCACCAGGGTGTTGATGCGCTCGCCCAGGCTCTGGAACATCACCAGGGTCAGGGGGATGCCCAGCAGCGCGTAGAGCATGCAGAAAACCTTCCCGCTGTCCGTGCTGGGCGCCGCGTGCCCGTAGCCTGCGGGAAAAGGGAGAGCGGGGTCGGATCCGTGATCCCGGCGGGAATCGGGAGTGGGGAATGTCGGTGTGGGATCCCGAAGTGGTTGGATGGGAGCAGAGCTTAGAGCTCATCCCATTCCAAGCCTGACACCTCCCATGATAGCAGGGTGCTCCAGCATGGCCTTGGGCACTGCCAGGGATGCAGGGATTCTCTGGGAATTCCAGCCCAGCCGGGAATTCCTTCCCAAGATCCCACAATCCCAAGCTCCCCTTTCCCACTGGAAGCCATTCCCTGCCTCCTGGCCCTCCAGCCCTTGCCCAAATCCCAGCTCTCCTGGAGCCCCTTTGGGATTGGCTCCAAGCATTCCCTGGATCCTTCCCTGATCCAGCTGCACATTCCCAGCTCTCCCAGCCTGGCACTGGATCCATCCCCACCCCGATTCCTCCTTGAGAAGGAATTTCAGGATCCAGGAGCTTCACTGGGAATTTAGGACTCCAGGAGGGGTCTCCCATCCCTTTTCTTCCCTTTTCCATCCCTGACTTCCATAAAAATCCCTTGGGATGGATTCTGAGTGTCCTTTATCATGGAATCATGGGGTGGTTTGGGTGGGAAGTGATCTCCAATCCCTCCCTGTTCCAACCCCGACTCCTTCCACCATCCCAGCCTGCTCCAAGCTCCTTCCAGCATTTCCTTGGGCACTCCCAAGTCTCCAGGGGCAGACACAGCTCCTCTGGGAATGCTGTGCCAGTGACAATGTTTGGATGGACCCTTGGGTGGAGGCACCTTCCCCATGCCTGGATTTGGGAAAATTCCCAGAATTCCCGTCCCAGACTCACTGGAGATGGGGATAACCGGGATTGTGGCGGTCTCCAGGGCCGAGCGCTCTGTCTGTCCCCTGTCACCCCCCTGTCCCCGTCCCGGTGCCCCAGTTGCTGCCACCCAGGGGCTGCATCCGCATCCGGCCCCGGGAACAGCTGTGCTCCCGTAATCCCCCCCGCTGCAGATGGGATTTATCCTGCTCTGTGCCCCCGGATCGGCTCTCCCGGATGGACCCCGGGATGCTGCGGGCATGGGGGCCTTGGTGGGGGTGGCAGGAACCAGCTGCTCCCTTTTCCTGTCCCTGTCCCTGTCCCTGTCCCCGTCCCTGTCCCTGTCCCTGTCCTTGTCCCTTTCCACCTTTTCCTTTTCCTTTTCCTTTCCCTTTTCCTTTTCCTTTTCCTTTTCCTTTTCCTTTTCCTTTTCCTTTTCTTTTTCCACCCTTGCCCTCTTCCTTTCCAATATCTTTCCTTCTCCTTCTCTTTCTTTCTTTCCCTTGCTCCTTCTTCTTTCTCATTTTTCTCTTTTCCATATTTTCCCCCTTTCTTCCTTTTTCTCTTTTCCCTTTTCCTTTTTTCCTTTTCCTCCTTTCCCTTTATCTTTCCCTTTCTTATATGTTTTCCCTTTCTCTTTTTTCTTTTCTTTCTCTTCTTCCCCTTTTCCTTTTCCTTTTCAATTGCTTCCCATTTCTTCTTTCTTAGTTTTTTCATTTTCCTATTTTCTTCCTTTTCCTTTTTTTAAAAATTTCCTCCTTTCCTTCTTTATCTTACTTTTCCTTCCTCTTTCTTTTGCATTTTCCTCCTTTTCCTTCTTTCCCTCCTTTTCTTCCTTTCCATTTTCCTCTCTTTTTTTTTTTATTTTCCTCCTTTTCCTTCCCCTTCTCCTTCCTCTTTTCTGTTCTCTTTTCCTTTCTCTTTTCCCCTTCCCTTTTCGTCTCCCAGGAAAACCAGGAGCGGGCAGGAACAGGAAGGAAACTCCAAACCTCTTCCTTGGACTTGGAGCATTCCTGGGTCCCTTTTCCAGGGCCTATCCCAGCTGTGATCCCAAACCTTTGGGAACACTGAGAGGGGCTCATCCTGTCCCTGATCCCGATCCTGTGTCCCTTATCCCGATCCTGTGTCCCTGATCCCGATCCTGTGTCCCTTATCCCGATCCTGTGTCCCTTATCCTGATCCTGAGTCCCTAATCCCAATCCTGAGTCCCTAATCCCAATCCTGTGCCCTTGGACTTGGAGCATTCCTGGGTCCCTTTTCCAGGGCCTATCCCAGCTGTGATCCCAAACCTTTGGGAACACTGAGAGGGGCTCATCCTGTCCCTAATCCCGATCCTGTGTCCCTTATCCCGATCCTGTGTCCCTGATCCCGATCCTGTGTCCCTTATCCCGATCCTGTGTCCCTTATCCTGATCCTGAGTCCCTAATCCCAATCCTGAGTCCCTAATCCCAATCCTGTGTCCCTAATCCCGATCCTGTGTCCCTTATCCTGATCCTGTGTCCCTGATCCCGATCCTGTGTCCCTTATCCCGATCCTGTGTCCCTTATCCCAATCCTGTGTCCCTGATCCCGATCCTGTGTCCCTGATCCCGATCCTGTGTCCCTGATCCCGATCCTGTGTCCCTGATCCTGATCCTGCATCCCTGATCCCGATCCTGTGTCCCTGATCCCGATCCTGTGTCCCTGATCCCGATCCTGTGTCCTTGATCCCAATCCTGTGTCCCTGATCCTGATCCTGCATCCCTGATCCCGATCCTGTGTCCCTGATCCCAATCCTGTGTCCCTGATCCCGAGCCCGCGTCCCCCTCGCTGATCCTGTGTCCCTAATCCCGATCCTGTGTCCCTAATCCCAATCCTGTGTCCCTTATCCCGATCCTGTGTCCCTGATCCCGATCCTGTGTCCCTGATCCCGATCCTGTGTCCCTGATCCCGATCCTGTGTCCTTGATCCCAATCCTGTGTCCCTGATCCTGATCCTGCATCCCTGATCCCGATCCCGTGTCCCCCTCACTGCCACCCTCAGGGGGACACGGATGGAGCTGAAGCGAGGGGAAAATCGGGATTGTGGGATCTCCTCCAAGGAGGAGCTGCCGTGGGATCCTCCCTGTGGGAGGTGGGGATGGAATCATTGGAGAGGGAATTGATGGGAGGGAATTGATGGGATGGAATCCATGGAGAGGGAATCCATGGGAGGGAATCCATGGAGAAGGAATCCATGGGAGGGAATCCATGGAGAAGGAATTATTGGAGAGGGAATCCATGGGAGGGAATCCATGGAAAGGGAATGAATCCATGGAGAGGGAATCCATGGGAGGGAATTGATGGGATGGAATCCATGGAGAGGGAATTGAGGGGATGGAATCCATGGAGAGGGAATCCACAGAGAGGGAATCGATGGGAAGGAATTATTGGGATGGAATCCATGGGGGGGAATCGATGGGAGGGAATCCATGGGAAAGAATCCATGAGAATGAATCAATGGAGAGGAAATCGATGGGAGGGAATTGATGGGATGGAATCCATGGAGAGGGAATTGATGGAAGGGAATCGATGGGAGGGAGTTGATGGGAACAAATCCATGGGGGGGAATCGATGGGACGGAATCCATGGAGAGGCAGTCCATAGAGAAGGAATCCATGAGGAGGGAATTGATGGGATGGAATCCATGGAGAGGGAATCCATGGGATGGAATCCATGGGAGGGACTCCATGGAGAGGGAATCGATGGGAGAGAATTGATGGGAGGGAATCCATGGGTGGGAATCCATGGAGAAGGAATCCATGGAGAGGGAATCCATGGGGAGAATCCATGGAGAAGGAATCCATGGAGAGGGAATCCATGGAGAGGGAACACATGGAGAAGGAATCAGTCCCGACAGAATCGATAGAGAGGGAATCCATGGAGAAGGAATCCATGGAGAGGGAACACATGGAGAAGGAATTAGTCCCGACAGAATTGATAGAGAGGGAATCCATGGAGAAGAAATCCATGGAGAAGGAATCCATGGAGAGGGAATCATGTGAGACAGAGCAACATCTGAGAGTGGCACCTGAGAGCATCGCTGGAGAACAACACCTGAACATCACCAAAAATCATCACCAGAGCAGCACCTGGGAAACACCTGGGAAACACCTGGGAAACACCTGGGAATCACCTGGGAAACACCTGGGAATCACCTGGGGAACATCTGGGGAACACCTGGAGAGAATCACCTGAGAGCATCATCTGCACATTGCTGCAGAGCACATCTGAAACCATCCCCTGAGCATCCCCTGAGAGAACCACCTGGCAGCATCACCTGAGTAACACCTGAAACCATCCCCTGAGCATCCCCTGAGCATCCCCTGAGCATCCCCTGAGCATCACTGGAGCATCACTGGAGTATCACCTGACATCAAGATCTCCTCTTTATCCCTGTCCCACTCAGCTGCTCTTCTGGAATGTCCCAAAAAATGAAGAAATCTTGAGGGAGATTCAGACCTCCCCCAGATTTCAGCATTTTGCCATTTCCTCACTACACACAAAGTTTATAGCCCACTTCAGGGAGTTACATCACTGCAATGACAAGGACAGGGCAGGATTCAGCCCACAGAACAATTCTGCATTTATTTCTGGGCCCTCTAATGCAAGTTAGCCCTCAGGCTTTGGCTGTAAAATCAAATAAGCAAGAGATGGGTATTGTCAGCAATTTAGACCCTCCCACTCACCAGTGATGCAGGAAGTTGGCTGAACTCCTACCGGAAGCATTTTCATCCTAAAAAGCACCTAAAGTGAGATGGGATAAATCCAGATCCAAATGCAGGTGTTTATAATCTAGAGAGACACGTGGAAAATATCTGATTTCTCATTTTCTGCTTTACCTGTTTGCAAAGCACGCAGAGCTCTTCTAAACATGTGAGCTTTGTTACCCTCATTGTCTAAAATAAAAGCTCTGTGATTCTGTTTCATTTGGAAGGATGTTGACAGGGAAGCAATGCCAATACCCCAGTAACAGCACCTGGGAAACACCTGGGAAACACCTGGGAATCACCTGGGGAACATCTGGGGAACACCTGGAGAGAATCACCTGACAGCATCATTCTGCACATTGCTGCAGAGCACATCTGAAACCATCCCCTGAGCATCCCCTGAGAGAACCACCTGGCAGCATCACCTGAGTAACACCTGAAACCATCCCCTGAGCATCCCCTGAGCATCCCCTGAGCATCACT